TTTTGAGTTAAATAGTCTACTTTTCAAGGACAAGACAAACATTCTGATTGATTCTTTTGTATAATGGGTAGAGTTCCAGGTGAGCCAGGGCTGCATGGTGAAACCCTGTCTCAAAATAAACACAACAAAAACAGATTATTACTATAAATATAATTTTGAGGTGAAAACTTGTACAGTATTTTCAGTTTTATTATAAAAATGCACACAACAAAGATTGTCATTTCTTGGCTCTGCTTGCATTTAGCACCTGCTCTTGAGCAGCTTTCTTTGCTTTTACCATCTCAACGAGTTCCTAAGAGGAGAAAAAGGTGTGGTTTAAATTAAGACTCTGTCACTTTCAAAGCAGACATACCTGTTTAGCAAAAATCTATAAATAACTTGAACTGGATGAATCTAAAAATTAATAGAGCATTTAACTCAGTGCTGTACGTGGCACATGCCCTCACGGCATTCGGAAGATGGAGGCACTGAGGCTGAGGCTGAGGCCAGCCAAGGCCACAGGGAGATCCTGTCCCCAAACCAACAAACAGTACTATAAATGTTGATTCCACTAATTGCCAAGGATAAAGTTTCTAAGTATGGTCCATTTCTAAGTATGGCCCCATAACTGCTATGGTATTAAAATAAGCACTAGTATTACAAAATTAGTAGATATACCAAAATGTGAACTATACCATGCTATAATTTAAATGATAATAGAATCTATAAACTCTGAAAGTGTACAACCTTGTATCGTTTCATGCAGTCCTTCTTTGTCCTACCAGGAACCGCTTCAGCTATCTTTTCCCATCTTTCTGGTGTATTTACTGGGTACGTTTTCAAAGCTTGTTCTAAAAGTTTCTGTTCTTCTGTTGTCCAAGGGGTGAAATCTGTGCATGGACCTGTTAAGAAAAAATTTTGTCTGAAAACTCTTACGCTGAATGGTAGAAAATGATCTTGGACCACCTTCTCAGACATATCTTTTGGCACACAGCTAGCTACGTTGCTATATAAGTTCTGATATAAGATGTATAATACTGAACAAACTTCTAAAGATAGACACATAAAAACGTCTGTGTCTTAGAACTTCTCTCACACCCCAGTTAATGAATAGATTAGTGTAACAGAAGCTATCTGTCTCGTACTGTTGGTCTCTTGTAACCCAATAATATCTGTACCAGACTCTTTAATTAGATGTAAATTTATACTAAATTTGGACTTTTGGGCTCAAAATCACAAAAGTCATTTAAAAGTGAGGAATAGTGGTACATACTTAGTGTCCTAGCTACTTAAAAGGCTGAGGCAGGAGGAGCCCTTGAACCTACAAGTTCTATGACCAGCCTGGGCAATAAAGTGACCTTTTCTCAGAGGAGAAAAGTCATTCAGGATTTCTGGTTGTTAGGGAAAAGAGAACTGTCATAAATACAAACAGACCCTGGAAAGAACAGACCCTGGAAAACATTACATGCTAGGAAAAAAACCCCACCAGGTGTGGTGGCATACACCTTTGATCCCAGTACCTAGGAGGCAGAGGCAGGCGGATCTCTGTGAGTTCAAGGTCAGCCTGGTCTACATAGTGAGTTCCAGGCCAGCGGGGGCTGTGGGAAACCCTGCTTAAAAAAAAAAAAAAAAAAAAAAAAAGTGCTTGTGAAAACTGCCAGCTACCACAGGTTTCAGTGAGACAGAGGCTCGGGTTAGAGTCAGTGTTGTATTTGGAGTCTTCTCACTACACCTGCTAATATCTTAATGAAGCCAATGCTAGGGACCTCTGATAACCATTAATGCAGTTTTTCAAATAAACCTTTGTATTTGACAAAACAGCAAATCAAAAACAAATGTATTTCTTAAGGATGCTTATCAGCCGCCACTGATAAGCATTGGTGAAATGAGAATGTTAAATGCTGAAAAGCCAATTCAGTTATTCTAATGTAAAAGACAGCAACTGGCAGGTACCTTCAGATCACGATGCAAATGCAGTAGGGTCTGTAGAATGACTAGTAGTCTGACCACTGCTTATTATTGTTCCTCAATCTAAAAAGGCAGAGAACTTGTCTCTATTCTAGGCAGACCAACAATTGTTTGGAGGGTACCTTTTAAGTTTTAGGAAGCCCTTACTGGTTAAGAGTTCTACTTAGTAAAATAAGTTTAATTCATTTCCTTGGGACAAAGATGAAAATGACATGTAATTATTTTCTTTTCTTCAGTTACTTCACGATACCAAAATAAAGTCAAACTATTGTAAAATTCCTATGAGAAATTACTAGTCAAAAGAAATTGTGCCAGGGCTGAGGCTGCAGGTCAGTGGTCGAGTGCCTGCCTAGCATGAGCAAAGTGCTGCATTTGGCCTCTAGCATTGTAGAAAATAAAAAACAGGTGCCAGGCTGTTGTTTACAGCAGAATTAAAGGAGTTCAGACAAGCAAGTCACCCCAGATTTTTCAAGTCCAGAGTTCAGACAAGCAAGTCATCCCAGATTTTTCAAGCCCAGAATGACCTTCCCAACAGAACACTTTTAAGTTTTTATTCTCAAATTGAAATTTGGGGACAATAAGCCAGACTATTTACTAATCCAAACCTGTTTAGAACTATGTTTTGGAAAGCATGTGTGTGTGTGGGTGGGGGGAGTAGCTTAAGGATTGATTGGTGACTCACAGGTACATTAACATTTTTCGAACCTTGACAATTAAAAGAAAAAAACATGTTGAGACTGGAGAGATGGCTCAGTATTTAAGAGCACTTACTGCTCTCCCACAGGACCCTGGTTCAGTTCTCAACACCCACATAGGGCAGTTTATAATCACCTGTAATTCCAGTTCTAGGGGATCAGATGCCCTGTCTGGATTCAGTGGCCACTTTCACTCATGTGGTGCACATACAACCAGGCACATACACGTAAAATAAATATGACTTTGTGGAAACTAATAGTCCAGAGTAATTCAATTAGCTAGAATGTCCAAAAGATTAACAGCAATGTAATGGTCTTTAGCTTTTTATTTTGAAATACATTCAGAAGATAGAAAAAATTCTTATATACCCAGATTTCCCCAAGTGTGAACATCTTGTAGCATCTGCTTACCCCTTTCCTTATATACAGACATCCACATTCTATACCATTTGAGACTAAGTCATAGACATGATAACTTCTTAAAAACAAGGACATTTTGGAGCTGGAGAGATGGCTCAGTGGTTAAGAGCACTGGCTGCTCTTGCAGAGGACGCCAGGTTTGAATCCCAGCACCCACAGTGGCTAACAACCATCTGTAACTCCAGTTCCAGGGGATCTGACACCCTCTGCTGGCTGTCTTGGGCACTGCATGACATGGGTGCACCTACCTACACACAGGTAATACACTCATACACATAAAATAAAATTTTAAAAAAGGACATTTCTGTTGGACATGGTGGTGCATGCCTTTAATCCCAGAACTCGGAGGCAGAGGCAGGCAGATCTCTGTGAGTTTGAGGCCAGGCTGGTCTCCGTAGCGAATCCAGGCCAGCTTTGGCTACAGGGAGACCCTGTCTCAAAAAGACCAAAAAAGTAAAAAAGAAAAAAAAAGGACATTTCCTCATACATTTATAGTTTGCTTTTCAAAATTTTTTAATTTCATTTTCTTATTTGTATGTATGGATGTACATATGTGTGCCATAGCATGAGTGTGAAGGTCAGAGAATTATTTGCAGGATTTGGTTTTCTCCTTTTATCATGTGGGTCCTAGGGATCAAACTTAAAGGTTATCAGGCTTGGCAGCAAGTGCGAGCTTACCTTGGCAGCCCTGTAGTGCTTTCAAAATCAGGAAATAAGTCTTGAGGAAAAAAGAATACTATTACGTGTCCAAATGTCCCAGTTACATCCTTTAACTGATTTATGGTATGTGCTGACCAATCACAGGTCTTCCTCTAATGGACTCTCAATTGAAGAACTGCAGTTCTCAATGGTTAGTTGAAGTAAGCCTGTTAACTGACTTAGAAACATTTGCTTTATGCCTTTCAATATGCTAAATTTAATATTCTAGTCACCGTTAACACAGACCCTAGGTCTTAGATACTTTCAGGTGGTCTGGAATCAACTAGTATTTTCTACTCACAGAAACACCAAACTTTACCTTCAAATCGTTCTGAAGGTGTTGCATTGTCAGCTTGAGGTACCACTCCATGTTCTTTTTTAAATTTGTCAAAAGCCTTTTTGTTAATGTCATCTTTTTGATGAGGGTCTGGGAAATGAAAAAAAAATTAACAGATCAACTCAGTCTTTCAATAAATTGTATAAATTACTTTAAAATATGTATGTAAGGTAACAAATTGACTTCTCAAAACTACTCACCAAGCTTTTGGAGGCTTTTGGCCTTACTAATAACATCTTTGGCAGTTCTCTTGATGCCAGAAGAAGAATGAAGATTCATGTAATTAGCAATAACTTCCCATCTACAGAAACAGGCATACGTTTTATTAAGGAGAAAAAAACAAAACAAAAAACCCCACAAAAATGATTATGTTTTTAGAGCAGAATGGTTATAAGATCTACAGAAAGAACCCTAAATGGTCTACTGATGCTGTTAATTTACACTGCTATTGCCTGCACTGTTTCTTGGTTTTGATAGATTTAAACCAACCATCTATAAACATAACAGAAAACAACACATTTGTTTGTATTGTCAATTTAATACATCGTTCTTGAAAAGGAGAAATCACTTTGAAAACCGCCTTAGTTTACTCATCTATATGGAATGAGTGAGTCTGACTCTCTAAGGCTTGAATTTGAAATCTAGACTTTGAAGTAAGTTCTGGTTTGAGGCTAGAAGCAAGAAAGAACAAGACTGCAAGAGGGAAACTACAGGACACAAAACACAGCCCCTGCTACAAGCCAGGACAGAATAAGCCAATGCAGTGGTCAAGACTTATGTCTTAGACTCTTCATTCTGCAAAGAAAGTAATGATGAGTATCTTGCTACATGTATGTATGTATGTATGTAGAGGTGGTGGTATAATAGATAAGCCTAGAAGTTTGGAGTGCACCTAGCTTCTCATTTTCCACCATGACACAGAATTTAGTGAAAGTCTTTCTAGACTCAAGCTTATCTATAATCAAGGCTCCTACTTTGATTTCTCTCTCCATTATTTCCAGGCTCCAATGTATAGAGAAAATTTTCTAGAAAATCAG